CAGAAAAGACAACAAGATACTAGGAGGGCGTATAAGTTTGTTAAATGGTTGAGACAAGTATATAAACACCACACAGCTCTATGCAGAGAAGAAGCAGGGAAGATAGTGAGCGATGAGGTTGAGGTAAAAAATTACTTCCAGAACCTACTAAACATGGGATCCCAAACGGAGGTGGACTATGGTACAACAAACCAAGAAGAGGAGAAGACTACTGAGCACATAACCATCAATGAGGTTCAAGACGCAAATGCGGCACTTAAAAACGGGAAGGCACCAGGGATCGATGGCATATCAACAGAAATGCTGAAGGCTGGAGGAGAATGGAGGTTGGCAAGGAGAATTTATACACTGCTGCAGAGAGTTTGGGAAGAAGAGGGGTATAAACTGTTCACACATATCCTGAACCAAAGACTGCAACTTTTTGCCAAAAACATCATAGGCGAGATATTTACCATTACCAGATACTAAATAAAGCCTGGGAATGTAATGTTGACGTGTATAATATATGTGTGGATTTTAGGCAGTATTAATAGACAACAGCTGTTCAAGATCATGAAACACTTTGAAATCCCAGCAAAATTGATACGACTTGTTCAAAGCACACTAACCAGAGCGTATGTACGCATACAGGGCCAACTGATTGACGACTTTCAGGTCTTGCAGGGTTTAAAGCAGGGAGATGAGATATCAAGATACAATGGCGAGTTGTATGAGATTTATAAAGACCCGTCACTGGTACAGTTCGTCAGACTCCAACGCTTAAGATGGGCTGGCAACGTGATAAGAATGGAAGAAGAGAGAGGCAGTGGCTTAGGGAGGCCAAGGCTCAATACGGGCTATAAAGCAATAAATAATTTCTTTATCAGAAAAGACAACAAGATACTAGGAGGGCGTATAAGTTTGTTAAATGGTTGAGACAAGTATATAAACACCACACAGCTCTATGCAGAGAAGAAGCAGGGAAGATAGTGAGCGATGAGGTTGAGGTAAAAAATTACTTCCAGAACCTACTAAACATGGGATCCCAAACGGAGGTGGACTATGGTACAACAAACCAAGAAGAGGAGAAGACTACTGAGCACATAACCATCAATGAGGTTCAAGACGCAAATGCGGCACTTAAAAACGGGAAGGCACCAGGGATCGATGGCATATCAACAGAAATGCTGAAGGCTGGAGGAGAATGGAGGTTGGCAAGGAGAATTTATACACTGCTGCAGAGAGTTTGGGAAGAAGAGGGGTATAAACTGTTCACACATATCCTGAACCAAAGACTGCAACTTTTTGCCAAAAACATCATAGGCGAGATATTTACCATTACCAGATACTAAATAAAGCCTGGGAATGTAATGTTGACGTGTATAATATATGTGTGGATTTTAGGCAGTATTAATAGACAACAGCTGTTCAAGATCATGAAACACTTTGAAATCCCAGCAAAATTGATACGACTTGTTCAAAGCACACTAACCAGAGCGTATGTACGCATACAGGGCCAACTGATTGACGACTTTCAGGTCTTGCAGGGAGATGAGATATCAAGATACAATGGCGAGTTGTATGAGATTTATAAAGACCCGTCACTAGCACAGTTCGTCAGACTCCAACGCTTAAGATGGGCTGGCAACGTGATGAGAATGTAAGAAGAGAGAGGTAGTGGCTGAAGGAGGCCAAGACTCAATACGGGCTATAAAGTCATAAATAAATTTCTTTATCAGAAAAGACAACCTAACAAAATGGAACAAACATCCATCTAATAAAAAATTAGATAAAAATTGTTTTATTGAAATGTCTTAATAAATAGTTATTAAAACCTAATTATTCTATGAAGCACTTTAGATTTACTGACTATATATTACCTATCATCCAAACATATTATCCTTATGTTTTAACATCTATATGTAAAATTACCTGGTAGGTTCGGTCTCACAGGCCGATGTTAGTACTAGTGTTACAAAAATCATGTTACTACTGGAAGGTTAAAATTTAAAATCATTAAAATAAATAATTGATAAAATCGAATTTTTTAACAAAATAATTTTTTAAATACACAAAAGTGAGTTCATCGTATTCAAGAAATGCATGGTCCGCTAGCAGAAGCGATTTTGAACAGCGCCTGGTCATAGACCTGGGTCAAATAATGAACGTTACCAGAATTTGGACCCAGGGTAGACCCGGCAGCTCCGAATATGTTATGGAATATACCATCAGTTATGGCACAGACAATTTAGATTATGCTGATTATCGTGATCCTGCTGGTAATATTAGGGTGAGATTATTTATTTTTTTTTATTCTTATGTGATTACATAACACAACAAAGCTTTTTGTAAAAGTTGTTTTTATTGCAAACCAAACCTTTTTGTAGAAACCCCTGTAGAAATCCTTCTCTTTAATTCTTTTTGTGCTTGTTCTAATTTTTTTTGGGACTCTTTGTTTAAAACAATTTAAATTTATACCATTTTTTCTTCTAACCACAACATTTCTTGGCTTTTTTCTTTTCAAATCGCTTCAGGGGATTCGGCTTGGACACCTAGAGATAGCACTTATAATCAATTTCTCACATTGGATATTGGGGAACGCGTTAAAATCTACGCATTAGCAACGCAAGGAAGATCCAACAGTAGAGAATTTGTTACCGAGTATATCGTTCAATATTGCGACGATGGTGAAAGTTGGCGAAGCTTTAGTGATCCTCAGGGTCAACCAGAGGTTAAACTTTTTTACTAAAATTTCTAATTTTATTTTCTTTTATCAGAAAAGGTTTGATTTGTAATCTTTTTGCAATAATAATTCTTATTGATTATAACTTTTCATAAAAACTAACATTCCCAATTTTTAAGATGTTTAAAGGGAATTCTGATGGAGATACGATAAAACGTAACGAATTCGAAGTTCCAATCATTGCTCAATGGATAAGAATAAATCCCACGAGATGGCGAGATCGGATTTCAATGAGAGTTGAATTATATGGTTGTGATTATGGTAAAATATAATCTTTTATATAACAATAAAGATTAATGTTTAATTTTTTTGTAGCATCTGAAACCCTGCATTTTAATGGAACTTCTCTCCTAAAAAAAGATCTTCTTCGAGATCCAATTTCAGCCTATCGAGAAACGATTAAGTTTAGATTTAAAACTTCTTACGCGAATGGAGTTGTTTTATACAGTAAAGGAACTCAACAGGATTACGTCGCTTTACAATTAAAGGATAACCGAATGTTGCTTAACATCGATTTAGGATCTGGAACGGTTACAAGTTTATCTGTTGGGAGTTTATTGGATAATAATATATGGCATGATGTGGTTATCTCAAGGAATCGAAGAAATATTTTATTTTCGGTCGATCGGGTTGTCGTCGAAGGAAAAATTGAGGGGGAATACACAAAGTTGGATTTAAATAGAGCGGTAGGAAAATTAAAAAATTGTTTTTGTCCACGACTATCTTATATCATATACCTTGATGTTATAAATCAAGTTTCAACTTGACAGACTAATAATTATTTGAAACGTCAAAATTTAAAAAGGTCAATTTAATTTAATTTTTTTAATAAACAATATTAAATTGCGTAAACAAATTCCTTTTTTCCTATGATTTAAGCATTAATTAATTAATTTTTGTAAAAAAAACGAGACGTTTCATAAAATTGACATTGACGTTGTGAAGTTGGTTACAGTTGGTAACATTGAATTTGTGTCACATTGACGTTTACACTTTATTCAAAAATTAATTTAAAAAAATAAATTTATGGAATCAATTTCAATAGTAGTCATGGACTAAGTATAGTATTCTACTCACATATAATGAACTATTATTCACTCAGGTTAATTCGTGACATAAAGTTAATTAAAATTAAAAATTTATTTTAGTTGTACATTGGAGGAGTTCCTTACACTCAAGAAGGAATTGTTGTAGTTCAAAACTTTACCGGTTGCTTAGAAAACTTTTATTTAAACTCAACCAATTTATTTTTGGATGTTAAACAAGCAATCGAATATGGGTATTCTTTAAGATACGAAAAAGTTAATACCAACACAATTTGCGCCGTAAGAATTAATAACTTAATAAAAAATGTGATGTGATAATCTTATTTTTTAGGATAGCCCAATTATCCCGTTAACGTTCACAACATCAACAGCCTTTTTAACTTATCCGGGTTATGTTGGTATTGAATCTCTCCAAGTTTCGTTTCAATTCAGAACGTATGAAAAAACCGGATTAATGCTTTATCACCAATTTAACGAAGACGATTCTTATATTGCTTATATCGCAGTAAGTTTTCATATTTAAATTTAATTAGGGTAAAATGCAGTTATTGGACAGTTATGGGATTTTCTTAAATGATCCTTTCTTAAAAATTTACACACAACATATTTATTAAATCATTAAATTTGACAGACTAGTAATATGCTATACTCTGTTTTTAAACCAGTAAGTCAGATTTACACTAGGAAAAATCACCAGAAAATATCACTAGATATTTTGGCGGTAAATTTAAATTAATAATTATTATTATTTATTTATTTACTTATTATTGTATTTATTTTCGTTTGTTATCGTCAACACTAAACATACAAATTAACATTGAAGTTATGAGTGTATTTATTTCAAAATATAATAAAAAAGGGTTTAAGAACACAAAATTTACAATAATGACACGAAATTGTCGAATTGTCAATAACCTAACCTTCAAATTCAAAATTGCCTGTGTGTGAACCTTCCTCGCATTCAATCAATCACGTGCAAGGTCAATCTGGTGACAAATTTAAAATACTCCTCCTGGTTTAAAAACAGAGTATAGTAATTAGTATAATAGTAATAATATTAAGATATAATTTACAGATTTTTATTTCGAAATTAAATTTAAAATTAAATTCTTTTTTAAATATTTATTTACGCCATCTAGTGGTCATTAACCACATTAATCGTATTTTTGACATTTTACAATTTTCTTCATATCTTAAGATTCTTTCAAAATTTGTCGAAGATAAAAGTTTAATTGAATCGAAAAACAATCAAAGTGTTTGTTTAAATACTCGAAGTAGTTATTTGTAGTGATTTAAAATTCAATGAAGTGTTTTTAATGGCCAAATTAATTAGGAAAGTTTTGACAGGTAATATAACCTCACTTTTTAACTTTTTTTTAACTTTTATGGATTTTGAAGAATTGGGGCGATTTATTTAAGAAAAACAGAGTAATTCGAAAAAATGCAGTAATTAAACAAAATCTTTTTTTCGTATGATTTAAGCGTAAATTAATTTTCGTAAACAAAACGACGTTTTATAAAATTGACATTTAATTTTGACAAATTGTTGTGAAGTTAGTTACAGTTTGTAACATTGAATTTGTCACATTTGACGTTTAAACTTTATTCAAAAATGTATTTAAAAAATAAATTTATGAAATCAATTTCAATAGTCGCGGACAAAGTATAGTATTCTACTCACATATAATGCTCATATAATAATATACTATAATCTACCACCAACATGATACATAAACTTGCGCAAAGTCCTGTGCTGTCCAATAATTGTATGGTTTACCCAATTTAAATTTAATAAATTAACTTAATCATTTTAATTGTTTAGCTGTATATTGAATTTGGAAAAATAAAAGTTGACATAACCTCGAATCAATTTCCAAAATTAATTCTTGACAACTACGAAAGTACTTACAACGATGGTTTATGGCATAGCGTTGAGCTGAAAATAACCTTAAACAAAATTGATTTAACCGTTGATGAGGTCTTAATGACGACAACGCGTCTTTTCAAATTACGTACTGGAGCTTTGTATAAAATAGGTGGTGGAGTTGAAAACAATATTGGTTTGGATACGGACAAAAAAATAATAGGTTTTATCGGTTGTATGCGGGAAATTACCATCGATGGAAACATCGTTCAATACACCAATCAAACTACTAAAGGTTGCGCTTCTTGCGAATTAGAAATTATCCAAGGAACTTGCCGAATGGACGATCGTTGTAATCCAAATCCATGTGAACATGGTGGAACTTGTTCCCAAAATTCGGAAACTTTTGAATGTCATTGCCCCAATGGTTATGGAGGAGCCGTTTGTCACATCTCATTAATGCCACTTTCTTGTATAGCCTATAAAAATTTACACAACGTCGGCCAAAAACAAGAAATTCAAATCGATATTGACGGAAGTGGTCCTTTAGATCCTTTCCCAGTAAGTTGCGAATTTTATTCCGACGGCCGAATTGGAACGGTTTTACAACACAACAACCAACAAACAACCGCCGTCGATGGTTTTCAAGAACCCGGAAGTTTTAAACAAGACATTCATTACGAAGCTAACGACGATCAAATCGAAGCTTTCGTAAATCGATCAAAAACTTGCAAACAAAAGATTCAATACGATTGTAAATCTTCAAGATTATTTAATTCCCCATCGGATGAGAATAGTTACCAGCCGTTTTCGTGGTGGATCTCGAGGAACAATCAAAAAATGGATTATTGGGGTGGCGCACTCCCAGGATCCAGAAAATGTCAATGCGGAATCATGGGAAACTGTATCGATCCTAATAAATGGTGTAATTGCGATGTAGGCGAACCATATTGGAACCAAGACGTTGGGGATTTAACCGAAAAAGAACACCTCCCAGTTCGACAATTAAGATTTGGCGACACCGGTAATGCATTGGATGAAAAAGAAGGTCGTTATACATTAGGACCGTTAATTTGTGAAGGTGACGACACCTTCGATAACGTTATAACCTTTCGAGTATCAGATGCAACAATCGTTTTACCACCGTTCGATATGAGTCATAGTGGTGATATTTACTTTGAGTTTAAAACGACGGTTTTAAACGCGGTTATCTTCGAAAGTAAAGGCCCGGCAGATTTTATTCGTTTAAGTATTTCGGGTGGAAATCAATTGCAATTTCAATACTCAGCTGGAGGTGGTGTTCAAACAGTTCCAAACGAGGCCTCGTTTTTAGCTGATAACAATTGGCATTCAGTTTCAATAGAAAGAAATCGAAAAGCGGCGAGTGTTGTTATTGATGGGCGTGTTAAAGTTGAAGTTCCAGAACCTAAAGGACCCGTTAGAGCTTTACATTTACCTGGAAAGTTTGTTTTGGGCGCGACGAGTGATTATCGGGATGGTTTTACTGGGTGTATTAGGGCTTTTCAATTAAATGGAAAGTTAATTGATTTGAAATCGTACGCGAAAAAAGGTTTATATGGAGTTACTGAAGGTTGTATTGGAAAATGTTTAAGTAATCCTTGTCTTAATAATGGAACATGTCATGAAAAATACGATAGTTATTCTTGCGATTGTCGTTTTAGTGCATTTAAAGGTCCTATTTGTGCTGATGAAATCGGAGTTAATATGAGACAATCGTCGATGATTAAATACACATTCCCAGGATCTTTCAGATCAACAATTCGAGAACGAATTCGAGTCGGTTTTACAACAACACATCCAAAAGGATTTTTACTCGGATTTTCGTCGAGCAAATCCAAAGAGTATTTAACAATCATGATTTCAAATTCGGGCCATTTAAGGGTTGTTTTCGATTTTGGCTTTGAGAGGCGTGAAATTATTTATCAAGAAAAAACTTTTATGTTCGGACAATTCCACGATTTGAGGTTGTCGAGGAAGAATGGGGGAGCTACTGTTGTTATTCAAATGGATGATTATGAGCCTAAAGAATATACTTTTGACATTAAAGAATCGGCGGATGCCCAATTTAATAATATTGAGTATATGTATATTGGGAAGAATGAATCTATGAGTGAAGGGTTTATTGGGTGTATTTCGCGGGTGGAGTTTGACGATATTTATCCTTTAAAGTGGTTGTTCCAACAAGATAAACCGGCGGCTGTTCAATCGGTTGGAAGTAAGGCGATAAAATGAAATTAAATTGTCTTATTAAGTACTTAATTTCTTTTTAGCTTCAACTGAAGATTTTTGCGGTGTGGAGCCGATTACGCATCCACCTGATTTAGTGGAACTTCGTCCCCCACCTGATATAGACGAAAGTAAATTGCGTCAAGCGTACCGACAAACAGATTCGGCGATATTGGGGAGTGTATTAGCTGTACTTTTCCTGGCATTGGTGATTGTGGCTTTATTGATTGGAAGATACATGCATAGACATAAAGGGGCTTATTTAACGCAGGAAGATGTTGGGGCTGATAACGCCGACGATCCTGATACAGCTGTGGTTATGGGGGCAACTGGACATCATGTTGAAAAGAAGAAAGAATATTATATCTAAAAGTAGTACAATTAAAATATGATTTGGATGTAAATATTTTGATTTCTCTTAATTTTTTTAAGTCTGAAGTGAGTCATTCTTGTATTTTGTAAGAAAACTGATTAATCTACTTATATTTTAAATAGTTATTCTCTAATATTTAAAAAAATAACCTTTTTTTCCGTCCATTTTTATGATTTCGTTCATTTATTCGATTTTTTAATATATATTTTTTAAATAATTTTTTCTTTCAAGTTTTGTAAGTACACATAGTTTTTAAGCACTAATTAGAACTTAGAAAACACGAGTTATTACAACTTACATTAAATAACAAACTGATTATTGGGTTTTTTGTATTTATTGACCTAAAAGAAATAAAGGAGAAATTTTGAATAAATAAATAGTCGAGAATAAAATAAACATAAATATACCGCTTATAAATTGAAAATGTTAAAAAAACGTTCTTCCATTTCTCAGATCCGAAGTTGAAAAGTGCCTTTGGATGGCAAAACATGATTAAGTTGAAATAAAACATTTTTTGTGTAAAAAAAAGTTTAAATTAAGGAAGATTTGACAAAAATGTAATTACTGTACGAGGGCGTTAATGTAATTTAACTTTTTTACCAATAAACAAAATAAAATTAAGTAATTATCTTATTTAATTTTTCTAAATCTTACAAGTTGGTGAAACTAGTAGAAATGTATATTCCCCTCCATATACGCCTAGTAAAAGATAGTTTGGGAAGCTTCTTTACGAATTTTTTTATCCTAATAATAAGTCAAAATTAAAAATTAAATACACTTTTTTTATTTCAATGAAATGCATTTTGCTATTTTACAAAATATAAAAGACGGCATCTAAAAATACGTTTAAATAATACTAGCAAATATATGTATAGGAAATATTTCAGTACATTTTTTTCATGATATTACAAATATTATTACAAATTATTATTATTAGACATCATTATAAAATCCATTTTTATTCATTGATATTATTTTTATTTTTGCGAGGTTTCAAACGAATAATTTTATTGATTTTTTTAATAATCTTTATGTACAAAAAAATCGTTTTAAACCTCTTCCAATAAATGTTTACTTATAAAAGATTAATACCACAGATAAACGCGTTTTTCGCATATAATAAAAAAACAAAAAATGGATAATCATAACACAACATATTTTTACAAGAACATCTTAAGATACTGTCGATAATTAGCGCTATTTTTTTAATATAAATTAATTGAGCTTTTTTAATGTTTTTAAGGAATTAAAATAAAATATCCGTGGTGTTATTCCCCGCACTAAACGCGATCGGTTGGAAATTTTCATCATTTAACACTTTTTCATCTTCATTCCCAGTTGTTTCGGGTGATTTTACGGCACTTGATGGTGATGTTATTGTTGTTGGTTTCATTCCTAATTGGAAATCTTCTATCTGATTGGCTGTTTTTGACTTATACGTAGCTAAAGTACAGCCTAAAATAAAATAAAAAGATATGTTACGCAACATCGCGTGATAAAAATAAAGATATGTTTTTACATAACGATTATTGCGTACGCAATTAAAAACAGATAAATGAAATAATAACAATTTGTGTGTTTATTTTACAAGATAATTTTTTAAAAATATTTTTTTATTTACCAGATAAACTTGGAACGCTATGTCCTACACTGGACTTGGAATTTGTTGCCAATTGAGTCGTTGGATTTTCGTCTCCAATAATTATCGAGCTCTCTGATGGATAGAAAAAGACGTCTGGTTCTGATTCCACAAATTTTATACTCATCTACAACAAAGAATACGATTTTAATCGTTTTAACATTTAATTCTTATATTTTTTATGGATTATACAGGGAGTTAGCGCTCACTCTACCGTGAGTATCATTACTTTGAAAGACGTTTCGATGTCTTCGTACAGTTATAATTATTTTTTTTGTTGCACGAAGACATTTAATTAACTGTAACATTTTCTTATACATCTTAAGGAAACCAAGGAAATGATTCGATTTCTCAAAAACCAATTTATAACGCAACAGATCTAAATTTAAATTCACGCACTTTCTACCTCATTGTTTACACTTTCTTTCTATTACCCGACCGGGTAATGTACAAAAAATCGATAGAAAGTCTTTTTCCACCAGGTCTTTTTAAACCAATTACATTTATCTACAAATTATTATTAACTTTACCATCTGACGATCATTAAAACATCATTACTTTCAAAAAATGTTATATAAAACTAAACAAATCTCGTGTACTTTATAGGTTGTTTAAAATCGACGCATTCCACCGTGAAGACCTCGACTTCGGGCCGAGGTGGTTGACCAGCAACAGCAGCAGCCAACAAGAGTAACAACAGTAGAAGCAAAGAGGACGGGGCAGGATGGTCGCCATAGACCCAGCCAGGTAGGTCATACGTAACACGAAGACCTCGGGATGGCAACGCAAAGAACTGGAACCGCACATTCCTTCGGTTCTTCAGACCCCGTTGATTTGTTTAACACCTGTCTCAACTCTTAAGACGCTTAAGAAAGACGGATTTTTAAGTTGGGTCAAATTTAAAGTTTTATAAGCCCCATAAAACGATAGGATGTAAAGAGTCGGGAGAACAAGTTGAGATACGATGGTAACGGCCTCGAAAGAGATCCGGACTCGTTTCATTGATGTTTCAACGACATTCACTTCCAATGTCATTCACTTTTAAGAGAGTTCATATAACAACTTTAAAAAAAAAACGTTTCCGGTGTGTTTCTGAGACTCAAGAAAGGATTACAACTTAAATGAAGCTTAAAACATTTATGTTGAAAGAAAAATTAGTTGCTGCAACCATTTTTTAATGCATTAATAGAAAGAGCAGAAAATTTCCTACTTTATTGATACGGGTTTAGTTTTTTTGTCCGCACCAAATAAAAGAGTGACTCAGAAAAGTTAATTTCTATGTATTAGGAGTATTTTTTGGCCGACGCCGATAGATATTGACCGGAGAAAATCCCGGATTTAGATATCCCAAAGTGTATTCTTTCCAAAATGATAATGCTATTCGGAGCACGGCGATGTTCTCTATTTTTATTTCGTTGTGGATATCAAGATTACGATTTTAGATAAAAAAAAACAATATTTCATAGAGTTTATTTGAAAACGTTTTAAAAAGAGATCATTTAATTTACTTTAATTACTTGTTGCAAAAAAGAAAAAAGAAACATGAACCATGAGAATAATTTTTTACACCAAGTCATTAAAAATGGAATAAAAACGCGAGGGCAACAAGACGTTAACAAGATCCCGTATGGTTTACGTTAACAGTTATCTTAAACATTTGCCGAAAAAACGGTACTGGAATCGTTTTAAAAAAAGAACCACCACACACTCGGGAATGTAACGATGCGTCACCGCATACAAAGAGCTGTGTCAGAAAGGAATTTTCTTAAAACAATTTAAAGTGAAGCCACAAAAAAAGATTTTTTTTAATTTTAATAACATAACCAGTGTGAAGTTACCCATAAATTGTTTGTGTATCGATTTTAATGATTAATAGCTTATTAGAAAGATCTCGTGGAGTAGAGCCTAACATAGTTTTGGCGGCGCAGATTTTGGGCGGGAACACCTTAAATTCAGCGAAAACAGTGAAATATATAAAAAAAATCTCTAACTTTAGAGTCCCAAAAATTGAAAACTAATTAACATAACATCAGGTATGATTACCAAATCAGAATGCGTATACTGTCTTCTACACAAAAGTGAATTTTGGTCGTCGCTAAATCATATGGGTAATTAGAAAAGTGCCAGGCGGTTCTTTGAAAAGCAAAATCATATCCATAAGTATAACTTTTTTGTTAATGGTCCGATTTAAGTTTGTGNCGCGACGTTTCTTATTTTTTCTTGCTCTTATTATCAACATATCGGCGGACGAAAACTCGGTTTAAGATAGAGAAAAGACCAAGCTTTCCAACCGTGTGCTTAGTTTTTCGCTATCTTTCTAAATAACAAAGATATGGGCCCTAGAAGTAGGTGGAAATATAAAGAAAAAAGTTTGTTGCTGGGCGGTTTGTTGCTATCGTCTCGCCGGTTAATTTTTCTCAACATGATGTTTGTTTATAAACAATTTACGGTTCAATAACGCACATTGTATTCTTACACAGCTGACACGGTTAGGTCATGTCGCTTTTGCTGACTATATCGAAAGTCGATTATAAATAAAACTCGATTATAAATAAAACGCTAGTTTATATTTTCACATTTTTTCGGTCGAGGGTTAACGTTTCTCCTTGAAAACTTTAGATAACCACAAGTAAACAATGTAGAGTCTCTTTTCGTTTTCATTTCATTCTTTTTTACGTCATATCGTAACGAATTTTAAACCGTATTGTTAAGTATTTAAAAAAAACACCTATTGTACTTGTATCAATTCGTGTCATCGTGCGTGGTCGTCGACATCGTTGTTGTTTCGCATCGCCGATTTCTTAGACAATACAACTTGTAAAAATATAAATCTCTTAATTAACCGCGACTATTTAATTTCATTCATTGATTCAATACAATTTCTTCTTAGAATAAGAATCAGCAACCTCTATTAATAAGAATATTTATGTTTGNAGAGAAAGAGGAAGGTGTGAAAATTGTTCTGCCAAAGCTAAACCCCACTCAAAATGTACTACGTGCAATGTTTATTTATGTTGTAATGAAAGAAAAAGCTGTTTTTCTGAATGTCATAATGTGATTTTGATAAAGCAAGTGTTACTTATTTTCTAACGTAATAAAAAATGTATTATTTTTATATCATCTCAAGTACCATTATACCCCCTGGAATGGGGGGATTGCATATTTTGCGTTTTTTTAATTCTGTCACAAAGTTTCAACATTTTTGACTTCTTGGGACACAAAGGGTTAAGAAAGGATTACAACTTAAATGAAGCTTAAAACATTTATGTTGAAAGAAAAATTAGTTGCTGCAACCATTTTTGTATGCATCAATAGAAAGAGCAGAAAATTTCCTACTTTATTGATACAGATTTAGTTTTTTTGTCCGCACCAAATAAAAGAGTGACTCAGAAAAGTTAATTTCTATGTATTAGGAGTATTTTTTGGCCGACGCCGATAGATATTGACCGGACAAAATCCCGGATTTAGATAGCCCAAAGTGTATTCTTTCCAAAATGATAATGCTANAAACTTTACTTTTGTATTTCCATCTATGTACTTTTCGGACGGATATCTTTGTTGTTTATAATGCTAGCGGAAAACTAAGCACACGGTTGGAAAGCTTGGCCGTTTCTCTATCTTAAACCGATAGGACTATCTTATTCCGAGTTTTCGTCCGCCAATATCTATCAGCGTCTGTAAGAAAAACCCACCTGAGAAAGCCCCTACCGATAAAAACACGGAAATATTTCTTGCACTAATAACTTTCCTATTTGACAGGGAGAAAACTTTACAACAATATTCAGCTTATGGGAAACTTCCTGCTCTTTCCAACGATGTGTGACACACCGTGATCACACGTTTGCACAATCCTTTTTTCTGACTATGAACTACCTAAACCACGAATTTTTGCCGCGGCTAAACCACGCTTAGGTCAATAACTAACTCTCTTGTATGACGGGGAGAAAACTCTAGAACTATATTCATCTTATGGGAAATTTTCTGCTCTTTCCAACGGTGTCCGACGCACTTCGCTTACGCGTTTGCATACGCGTTTTTTAAATTGATGAACTGAGTTAAAATGCAAGGTTGGTAACGTTACCAGATTCAAAACCATCAAAACACAATTCAACAATTCGAGTCTAAAATCACTCAAATTCTTCCAGATTCTGATAAAATAGGTGTAACATGAAATAATCTTTCCTTTTTGAACAGTNCAGTTTGAAAAATAAAAAATTAATAGAAGTCTTCAATTTTGCTAAACTATCGAATAAGCCAATAAAAAAAAGAATGTGTAACGGCCCCATCACAGTTTAAGGTCGGTGTCTACAAAATTCACACAGTTCGTCCAAACTACTTTTGCAGGTATCATGGGCCATCTACGAGCATTACTTGCATTTGAATTCACTATGAACCTCTTCAGCGAAATAGAGACATTTTTCTTGAATGATTTAACTGGTTTATTTGATAATATACAGTCAATCAAATGACAGACAAGAACTCCACAATTGTATTAATCTGCTTGTAAAGGTTAATCTAATTTTCGAAATATGTTTTAAATCTTCCCGGCTGTTGTTAAAGGTCGTATTTACATACTGTGAATTGTATGTTAATGGATCCATATATGTTATTGTATGAGTGATTAAGTCTGCAACATTGACGTCCAATGCCTTTGAAAATAATATTGCAAAATATTATTCTATTACAAAATTATTTAAGTACATATCAGAGATATTTTTATGCTGTAAAAGCGTTTGAAAACTGCTGTAGTATAACTTTCCTTTATTGAACACGGCTACTACATAGTCTTTCGGCAATTTAAGTGGCATTGTAACGTTGTTGTTGGTAATAAAGGAATGACTTTTCTGGCTGATTGTCAAATTTTGTGTTAAATTATGTTTAATTTTTGGATTCATCACTTTCTTAACAACTTTTCTGTTGTTCCGTAAGCGTTTCGCTCAACTCTCTTCTGGCACTTTGTTTGACTTTGCGTTTATTACACATCTCGTATTAACAAAACGCGTAATATTTATTAGTTATATTTATTAGTTAGTTACAGACAATTAACAAAAAAGGTATATTTATGGGTATGATTGTTTATAACCTTTGTACTCTTTTAATTACCGTTATTGTTAGAATTTCGCG